GAGATCACGAGAAATAATGAACAAACAATAACGTTTGACCAATTGACCCCATAAATATGCCAAATCATACATTTTCATAATTAATTAAACCTAGATATTTCCAACTATATCAATTGGTTTAGTTTCACAAGGGTGAGGAGTCTCTCCATTTCTTTGCTAATCATTTCTCCCAAATTTCTTAATCACGATCATTGATAACACTGTCTAAAATGAATTTGTTTTAGTTATAACTTCAATGAATAGTCATGACTAAAAAGTGGAGGGAAAATGATAATAAAAAATGAAAATATCCTTCTCCCATTGGATAGCAACATTTGTCAATAGTTTCTCTTTGAATTATAACTATTTAAATTTATTTATTCAAATTTTAATATTTAATAATATTAATTTTAATTAAAATAGTGAAGACTAAGCTGGCTATTAAACTGATTAAAATAATGGATCAAAGGTTAATGATCTACCCATGGTTGATCCAAAGTCAATCTAATAATGATTAAAATAATTTAACTTAATTAAAATATGCAAAAAAAAAAAATTCACACACACACACACATATATACGCACGCGTGAAAAGAACAGTATTTAAAAAAAACATTAGTTCAAAAATAAATACAACATATATATATATATATATCATATAATTTAATAAAATAAAGTTATTAAGGCACAAATATGACAAATTGTTATTTTTTCAATTTAAAACAACGTAGTTTCAGGCTTAATAAGAAGAGAAAAAAGTATAAAATCTAACTCAATTGCTCAAATCAAAACTCTTGATCCGACCAAGTAAAAAAAATGATTCACCAGTTTATTATTATGATTAGCCAACTCGAATTGTGTTTTAATACTATTATTTTAACTAATGGTACCATCTATAAAGCTATAAACAATATAAACATTAAACAATACAGCTTAATCAGTGCTTCATGTAGATGTAGTGCATAAGACGATATATCTAGTTTTTATAAAATGTCAGATAATATTTAAATCATATAGTCTTGATGATAATAATGTCTTTCTTCTTCTTAATTTGTTGGGCACGAACATGACGTGCCGTCCTTTTTCTTTTCTTTTTTTTTTTTAACTTCACTTTACATTTTTTTTTCCAATAATGCTATAGACTACATGAGGAAAAGCAAAATATAATACTAAGATATTACGCGTGACACTTTCAACAAAGCAAAGTGATAAATGTGCTAAAAATTGCAATCATTTGTTCGATCCGCTGGTGCGTATAGCCTGTGGGTTAGAGAATAGGAAATGAGGAATCACATTATTTTAGGGGGCATGTTTGATTTGTTTTTAAAAATTATTTTTTATTTTAAAAATAAAAAATAAGAAAATTTGTTAGGGTAATTGTTTTAAATTTAAATGGTTTTAAATTTTTTTTGATTTTTTTATTTTTTAAAACAAAAAGAAAAAACATACCTTTTAATCCCTATATTTTGCTCGTGTTTTGTTATAAGTCTCTGCATTTTTCTGATGATGTTTTGGATTCCTATACTTTCATTTTCTGATGTTTTGAGTTCCTAAAGGAATAAAATGAACAAAATGTAAGAACTTTGGTTGAACATAAAACAATAAAAAATAAAAGTATAGAGACTCAGAACACCGAAAAAAAATGCAGAGACTTGTAGTAAAATGTAAGGATCAAAATGTATGTTTTTTCAAACAAAAAAAAAAACAGAAACATATTATAGTTGTTTTTCTAATTTTTAAAGCACACTATGTTTAACTATTACTTCCTCCGTTTAAAAATATAAAACATTTTTAATTGAATCTTACTTCAATAAAGTAGTTACCTACTTTTAAATTAACCTTATCTTTTCATATTTATCCTACAATAAATGTAAAGTCATTATCAATAAGGACACTTTTAAAGATAATGATTACACATCAAAAGACTAAAAATGTCTTATATTTTTTAACATTCAACTCTTTAAAAAATACCTTATATTTTTAAACGAAGAGAGCATAAATTATCACCAACTATGGCTAATCACTATCAAAGTTCATTACTATTAATCAATCATTATTATTGGCTTTTATAAACTTTAAAATTGTTTTAAAATTAATACAATCAAATAGATTTTCATTTCATTTTATTTTGAAATATAATTTTTAAAACCAAAAAATAGAATGAAACTAAACAAGCACTTAAATAATATTTTTCTAGTCTATCTACATATCTGTTAATCCTGCACTGCAGAAAAGCTAATCAACCATATTTTGATTTGGTTTATATTTGACTAGCATTAGACTTTGTTTTCTTTGCTTTCTTTCTTTCTTTTTTTTTTTGTGTTATCATATTTTTATTAAATTCCATAATAAGGAACGTAATTTATCAAACTCTACATGAATTATAATGACCATGTCTGGCTATATTAAAGAAACATGTTCGGCGGATCCTGTTGTCTGAACCTACGGAAATGCCAATTGTCCCGCAAAGTGGCAAATCCGAGAACAAAAGCGACGAAGATCCCTGCCGTTTTTGCCGCCCCTTTTTAGAGGTAAATTGAATTGTTCGCATTTTTTTTTATTTGTCAATTTAACATCGGAAGAAGGACAGAAAAATTCTTCAAAATAGAAAATTAATAATTTAATTTTGTGAAATATGATAATCACAGTTATGTTCAGAGATTTTTTTAAATTAAATTTTTATGTGAAATTATTTTAGTATTCTTCTACAATTAATGTTATATTATTTATAAGTTTAGTATAAATATTCGTAAATTCAGTTCCACTAATAACTAAAATGATTTTAAAAAATTACAATATTCAATCAGGAATTTTTTCAAGGTGCAACTAATCTTCTATAGCTTACAAGTTTGGTATAAGTATTTACAAATTTGATTTTATTAATGACCAAAATAATTTAAAAAATTACAACTTTCTATTAATAAAGTGCAACTAATTTTATATTATTTATGAGTTTGGTAGTTCGGTTCTATCAATGATTAAAATAATTTAAAAATTATAATTTTCTAAGTCGCAAGAAAGTACAAAAGTAATTTCATATAGAAATTTAATCTCAAATAAATCTCTTGAAATTTCACTACAATTATCACATCTTGTAAAACCAAATTGCCATTTTCCTATTTTAGAAAAATTTATCTATCATTTTTTCTTGAATTAAGGTCATTTTTATCCTTTAAATACACACAAAGAGTTACAAATGACTCTAAACTCAACTATATATCAATTTTATTTCTCAACCTTAAAAATTTTTTGTTTTGTCAGCCAATTGTTTTTCCAGATAATGGCTCCATTATCTTGTTGATGTATGTAAGTTTTTTTGACCATGCATGTACATGTGGACAACATGCCAAGACACGTGGAGTTGACTAGGAAAATGATAAAAAAAAATAAAAAAAAGTAGGTGAATCATTAACTTATCTATCATCACTCTCAAGCTCTTCATCATTGCCCTCCCTGAAACTCTCAAGCTTTCACTATTGCTCATGCACACTGCCATCATCATCACTCCATTACTCGCCCCTGAAGGCTCTGAACACTCACCTTCCATCTCGTCCGTGGATCATAGCTTTGATTCCGTTGTACCAACACATTTTCTCAAGCCTGTTGAAGCCTCCTCCTAGTCTGTTGGTTGTGGCTGTTGTCCCCTTTATTTTTCTAGGCTATAGAGTTCAGGTCTTTTTTGAATCGAATATTCTCTAACCACTAGACCATATGTTCATCTTTCATCTTTTGTACGAGAATGAAAAGTTTCACAATCATGGGTTGAGTACTCTGCTTTTTGGTCATCAAAATATAGGCTAAAATAAATGGAAACACCACCCTGCCTGACTCTCTCTTTAAACTTTAGTTCTCCCCATATGACCCGTTCTTGTTCATATTATTATTTGGTGATTCCGCATGTATAATTAAAAATGGTAGCAGGAGTTTGGATTCGAATATATATATGTATGTATGTATATTATATGATGTTGGTACTTGTTTGATTCGTGTATGCAGCGAACATCAAAGCTAAAGGCATCAACATAGAAAGCCATCGACTTGGGTATGTCTTGCATGTAAACCATGATGTACCCATTATACCCTGACTTGAGACTCAATGCCATTAATAGAATGTTTTGCTGACTTGTTCTGGCAACTCCCCACTTTAATTCTTCTTTGGATTATCCACATATGAGCAAATGTTTGTGTGGAAGTTCTTCTAGAGTTATATGCAGAGTGCATGCATTTTACTTCATGTCTATTCTAGCCTTATGAGTGGTGAACACATGTTTGTGAGTTGAATGAGGGACAATAAGATGCTAGTTTAGACGATATGATATTAATAGTGGGTGTTAAATGATGAGGAGAAGCTGAAGTTGTTTTTATGAGGTTGAGGATGGAGGCGCATGAGGAAGGGGGAGTAGATTCATGTTTATTGATGATTGTTAGTATGGTATTGATATTGCATGATGAGATGAGAAAGATTCTAGAGAGAGGGAGATGAGATGGATGGAGGAGATGGGAGACAAGATGAAAGAGAAGGGATGAGAGTTAAAAAATATAAGGAGGATCTTACCATTATACTTTATTATTAAAAAAATATTAAAACAATTAGGTCAAGCAAAAAGTGAGATCTATTAATAATGATGGATAATAATTTAATACTAAGTGATGAAGCTTTGAATTTTAAAAATTCAAAAATAAAATTGATCTATAATTATTTTTGAATTATTTATGACCCTTCGTATGTATTTTAAAAATAAAATTAATCTTTAACTTTTTTTTTAACATTTTTTTACTTTATATATTTTTTAAAAAATTTTTCTTTCACTTTTAATTTAAATACAAGTTTTAGTTTGATCAAGGGTGATTTTAAAAGTTGTACATGGTGAAAACATTTTATAATAGTAATAATTTAAAAAAGTGGTAATGGTAATATCATAATTTCACATTCTCACGTCAGATTCCTGCACATACATGTAAAAATATAAAATACAATACAAAAGTCGTTAAAATCTGACGCGGTCCTTCGCATTCGCGTTGAACACAATAGGGTCGGTGGCTTGGTGATGGACCATATTCCGAAAAAGGAAGAACAGTCTTTACAGTGTTTGGTGGAGGTCGGGTTGTATTGCAGCCGCGGGCTTGGCCTTCCGGACGCCACGCAACAACCTAAATATGAAAGTTAGGAAGTACGAAGGCAGAATAATTAAGCATTTTTGCATTCGAATATTCCTACATACTCACATCCAACTTTCCCAGATCTAAGTGACGATGACGCAGAGCAATGCGGAGTTCGGCGGGCAAAGCTATGCAAGAATCTTCCATTAAAATTCCTCTTGTCATTCTCACTTCACCCGAATCCTGTTCCTTCTCGTTATTATTGTCTTTTTGGCCCTCCTTTTACATTGAAAGAAAACGTGAAAACTCGATGTTGTGCTACTGAGAAAACTAACCAAGCCAATCGATCTCTTAGTTCGGATCTAATTCCGATAAAAATAAAGTTCACATATTACAATGTCCCATCTGATTAAACCCGAATCGTCTGATTTATTCTTTCCTGGGGGCCTGTTCCTCGATATTGATTCAGCTCCTGCGTCGTTTATTTCGTTGATATCGTCCAAGACTTATTCTGAAGCGGAAAGGGTTTCGTGTTTTTCATGGGATCGCAGAAGAACGGTGAGTTTCGAAATTTTCAAGCGGGAAAGGAGAGCTTCGAGCGCAGTCGGTGGTGGGTTTTTGTCGTTGAGCTTGTCGATAAACGGAAGCGATGGGGATCAGAGCTATGTTCGAGAATCGCGAGAAATTCTGGGCCAGCATGAGGATAAAGTTTCGGACAGGTCCGATGGATTTAAAGAGAAGGAGAATGTTCAGATGAAGGGATCGGGTGCTTTGAATATGACTAAGCATCTGTGGGCCGGAGCTGTGGCTGCTATGGTTTCAAGGTTTGGGATTGCTTAGTATGTCTAATATTTGGATTAATGAACCATTAGTTCATGCCAGTTGCTCTGCTTTTATTTTATTTTTTCTGCTTTCCTGACTGTGTTTGTTTGTTTAATCTCATCTTTTGAATTTTCATGTACCTTTGCTATTTTCGTCTTTACCTGGTAATTTTTTGTATACACCGCGACTTTGTAGTTTTCTTCCTTTGCAGATGGTGGCAATGATATCTTTTTCTTATTTGTTCAATTTTGTAAGGGTGAACAGGATTGAGAAAATATTATTTGTTCGATTTTGTCCAATTTTTCTTATTGTTAATTTTGTAGTTTTCATGTACTTTTGCTTTTCTCCTTTGCCATATCATTTTGACAAATTCAGAAGCTGCTTTTTCTTTCATATTGGGTCAACTCCAAGTAATTCATGAGGCTGGTATTGTGAATTAGGAAACCACATAAATTCAACATGTTGTTCTACTTTGCCCTTCTAAGTTTCATATGTATACCCTTTGCAGTTTCAAGCGCTTGTTATGACGGAGAACTTCTATTGCTTTAGCTATATCTGTCACTTTGCTGCACAATTTGAATTCAATTACCCATCTTTCTTTCTTTTGCAGCACAAATTCATTGGTCGACATTTTACCTAGCAAATGCTTTTTGTTGTATCAGGACCTTTGTAGCACCTCTGGAGAGACTTAAACTGGAATACATAGTTCGTGGTGAACAGAAAAACCTATTTGAGGTCATTAAGGAAATTGCAACTTCTCAAGGGTTGAAAGGTTTCTGGAAAGGAAATTTTGTAAATATTCTTCGAACAGCACCCTTTAAAGCTATAAATTTTTATGCTTATGATACATATAGAAATCACCTGGTAAGGATATCCGGCAATGAAGAAACCACAAATTTTGAGAGATTTGTTGCGGGTGCTGCTGCAGGGATTACAGCTACCTTGCTCTGCCTGCCCATGGACACTGTGAGTGGCAATTTAAGACTGTTAATCCTTCTCTGATTACTTTCTTTATGTTAATCTGTAGATAAATATTATTATATCTTGTTTGATGCAAGGCTGGCGGCTTATCTAGTGCATGTGAAGCTTATGTTACCAATTTGCTGCAATTATAAGGATCCTATATATTGAGTATCGATTTACAAAATGCCATTGCTAGTTTTCCATCTCAATAATTCAATTAGCAATACTATAGGGAACTTCTTTGCTACTCCTCTCGTCCCCTCATCTCTCCGAACTACATCAATTTAGTCAACCTTTGGTTCTCACACTTGATCTTCAAACCAACCTAGAGTTATTTTGGGCCCATTAGATAGCATGTCTTTCCTGACATAGAGTGCTGTAAACATGTCTTTTCCCATCACTGTTGCTTTATTACTTTGATGCAACGTCCTTCAGGTCCAGGATGCTCTCTAATCATACATTTGTGACTTCTAATTTGCTGTATTTTTGTTTTTAATTTTACTGGAGATTCAGAACATAATTATAGCCATGAACTGCATCTTTTTACATTTTAGAACGACGTGGCAACAGCTGAATACCATAGTTCAATATCAATAGAATTGTCATTTTTGTATGTCTCTAGTGTCTCATTTGGATCATAAAAAGGCATTCTCAAGCTTTGAATGTTATTCCTCCTCTGAACAGGCTTCTCAATGAAGTGTGTTTTTTATTTGCTCTATTATGTTTTGGTTGCATTCTAAGAGTGAACTTTTTCAGATCAGGACAGTAATGGTTGCGCCTGGTGGTGAGGCCTTGGGAGGTGTAATTGGTACCTTCCGGCACATGATAAACACTGAAGGCTTTTTTTCTCTTTACAAGGGTTTGGTACCCTCCATTGTCAGCATGGCACCTTCAGGTGCCGTATTCTATGGTGTTTATGACATATTAAAGTCAGCATATCTGCATTCACCTGAAGGAAGAAAAAGAATTCAACATATGAGAGAACAAGCTCAAGAACTGAATGCTTTGGAACAATTGGAATTGGGACCCCTTAGAACTCTAATATATGGTGCTATTGCTGGTTGTGCAGCTGAAGCTGCTACATATCCCTTTGAAGTTGTTCGGAGACAGCTTCAAATGCAAGTTCGGGCAACAAGGTTGAATGCACTGGAAACTTGTGTCAAGATTGTTGAACAAGGCGGTGTTCCTGCTCTTTATGCAGGACTGATTCCTAGCTTGTTGCAGGTATGGTCTATGTTTTGGATTTTATTCTTTCATATATCTAAAAACTACACGTCAAATTTCAGTCACTTGGTAAAATATGAAAAGGACACAATGCGACTCTTATTTTGTGAACTTAGAGCAGTTACTCCTGTTATTTGGCTCTTATTTGAATCTGCATACGGTAGACAATAAGGTCAGGGAACAACAGCATTTGGTTTAAAAATGAATTTTCAAACTGACATGAAGAGATTTGTTTTTGTTTTTGTTTTTTTGGTTTTTAGAATTTTAAGGCTCCTGAATTATTTTTGACAACCTATGCTCATGAACTTTTGCAGACATCTGAAGCTAATTAGCTTACTATTGTAGTAAAATGATGTTGACTAATGTTGTCTATGTAGTGGTGGTTTGATTTGTACCAAAGTATACTTTTAAGTCAGTAGGAGTTGGGTGAACATGCAGGACCTCTATGTGACTCAGAAGGCATGTTGTTAAGGTATAAAATTGGACAAGATTGCAACATGTTAATACGCCTATTGAAAATGATGTGTCGTTTCCTTTGTTTTTGACCCTGCTGTCTAGTGGGGCAGGTCACTAGTGAGCTTCGTCTATTTTGGGTTTCTGGATTATTGCAATGAGAGTACTTTAGAGTTTAGACTGATTTCATTGGTTGAAGACTATTTAGGATCTGAGCTTATATAAAACCGGAGTTGCTAACTAGTATTTTCCCTTTTAGATGACAATAATTCGAGTAAATTTATGATTTAGTCCCTCAAGGATTTAGCCACTGGCATTCTTGTTCACTGAAGATACCAAGAACCAAATTCCCAAACCTGTTCATGCCAGGCAAAGAATTCCATTTTTTGAAGTCTAAGATAGAGCCAAACTTTAATCCATACACTCTATAAAACAGGGTTATCTCCAAATAAAGGTCCGTGACTTGTTCTGTGGCTTTTTATTGTATCCACCCTTTTCTCTCTTCTCACCCAAAGTTGTGTGAGAATAATTTTCATCGTTTATGTCTAGTACTTAAAATTGCAATTTCGTTTTGATTTTTTTTTTTTAACAATTTCTGACATAGCCTCTTCAATTGGATGACTCTTTAGGTGTTACCATCAGCCGCTATTAGTTATTTTGTATATGAGTTCATGAAGATAGTTCTCAAAGTAGAATAGACGATAATGACAGCAACTCAAATGCCAGATATTAGTTGAGGACTTGAGGATGATGATAAATTTCTCCTTTAGCCCTTTTCCCCCCCTTTTGGAGGTGAAGCTGCTGCTGCATGGAGGAGGAACGGGACATGCCTCACAGAAACAAGTATTGGTGTTTTCTCCTGAAATTTTCCCGTCAAGATTTGATATAATTTGAATGAAGAGAAAAAGAAGAACCATCAATTTTTTGTCAATTTGAAGAGAAATAATGAGAAAATAGGCTGTGTATGCGGCTGTCTCTTTCCCTCCAATTTAGTGGAGTATTAACTCGATGGAGACTTTTTTGAGTTTTGATCTTCTCAAAGAGTTTGATTTTCCTTGGATTTTCTCTCTCTTTTTTTGTCTCTTTTTTTCCGGTTTCAATTGGCAACTTCTCTGTTCTGCAATTACAAATAATCCAATTTGACATTTCTGTTCCTTTATACATATGATCCAATTTTAGGGTCATTGATGTTATTGGTAGCGGGTAATGATGCATAATGTTAGCTATGGTAGGTATTTATGTTTTATTGACTTCTATTTCTGTTCTGTGAGCCCCAAGACCAATTACAGAAAATTATATGGATTATCTATTATTTATCACGTTACATATTAAATCAAAAATTATAATGCAACCACATACATATTGATAAAGAAATGATCATTTTGCCTTTTCGTCTTAATACCGGAAGGTGACGGTTTATAGGGAACAGTGGGCTAAACTATGAAGAGTTCCTTGGTAAATAATGAAAGCAAAATTAGTTAAATTTTCAGAAAATGACAAATAAGAATATAGAAAAGCATTCGGCTAAGAAGGCACTATTTCCTTTCATTTAACCCAAGGCAAACAAGACAAATTACCCAATCTTCAATATATAATATAAAATTTAAATATAACAAATTCCAGTAAACTAGTGCAATTTTTTTTTTTTCAATGAATACGTCCCACAATTTGTACTTAAGAAGTTAAAACTCTTTTTGTGTCTTCCTCTTTATGTCATATTATTTATAAGGTCACAAATAATATTTTACTTCTTTATCATGGAACTTACTACTTGTGGATACCATTAAGGCATCTCGTTTATGCTCCTGTTAAAAGCTTTTTTGGGGCATTGACATTTTAGGTTTCATGGTAACAAAGAAGTAGAAGTTTATCATATGTCATATTTGTCTGAAATCAAATAATAGTAAATAATACATTAATTATCCTTAGTTGAGATAAATAACACATTAATAGATCCCTGTTTGTCATTTTCTCCATTTACCCCTTACCCTTCTACTATCTTTCCTAAAACTCATTTAGAATTATTACTTATGGCTCCACACTATTAGTATGTATCATTGATCACTACAGCATATTAGTAAAGAATGAATAAACTTCTTGATTCTCTATTACAATAACACGATATCATAAAGAAAGAGAGATATGATAATCATGTCTTATCTCTCTACTATGATATAAGAGTAAAGAGAGAATAAAACCAGCCAAAGACTTGTCATTGTCTGAAGATTGGGTTGGTTATTTTGGCAATGTTTTGAAAGAGGCTGTCCAAGTGGCAGATGTTTTAGGTAAATGAGCTTTTAATTTTACTGGTCCCTCTTTTGTTAGTTATGAAAACAACCCCTAAGTGCCAACAGCTAATTGCCTAAATGGCAACGCCACCTCTCCTTGAAGTCTAGAAGGCAAGGTTCAAAGTTCGAACTTTGTATTGGCACATGTACATGAATTGTAAAAATGAAATTAATTTCACTAAAAGAAAAAAAAATAAAAGAAAAGCCCAAGTACTGTAATTCCATTACGGGAGGCTGACCTCCAATTTCTCCAGCCAATGTAATCCCAGGAAACATCGGTACATCTTTTCCATTAAAAAAAAAAAAAAGCAGACATGGAACCAAATTTTTGAAATCATGATCCCAAGTTGAAGTTAAATGCTTTTATAATTCCTCGTTCATTTTCCGAAATGCTAACCTTCGTTCATTCAAACTTTCCAGAAAATAGCTTTTGCTGTACCTTACACTCTTCACTAGAGGGGGCAATCAAAGATGACAAAGCAAGAGGCCAACTACAAAGATCACAACTTGTATACAATGAAGACAACCAAACAATTAACAAACTCAAGGCTGTCCCAAGAAAAAGTGACCTACGCAACTGATTCTTGATAATTTCCCTATTACTTAACCAATTTTATTAATTTTAAGACTAGTTTTCAAGTGACCAGCTTTGAGAAATAAATAATAAATAGACCAGTTAATCAACTTTCTCATTCAACAAACCAGTCCGGTCTAATTTTTATCACAAGAAAGTTATAGCCAATTCCCAACTACATTGTGATTCCAATGTGTGATTAAGTACTGGCAACAACATTGTCCCAAAAACAACATTGGCAACAATGAATGTGAGACGTTCAGATCATATGTACTACAGTTTCTCCTCTTATTGTGAAAACAAAAAAGGATGGGATACTTCCACTGATCACTGTACATGCCAAACACCTTAGTATACATTCCCACAACCCGTATCTCATGAAGAACAACAGCTTCTCCAACAGGTTGCAGGGGTAAAGGTAATTTTTCTTTTTCTTTTTTTTTCCCAAAAAAAAAAAATAATGAACATAGAAAATCGATGGAAAAAAGAGTCCAGATGATTCAAAGTACCTAAAAGTGGTCAAACTCCTCTGCCTAGTTCCCATTTCCAGAGCCAAGACTCTCATAGAACAGGATGTACCCATGGTCTGTGTTACTGGAATATTCCTGTGCTGAGCCAAAGAATGTCTGCACAGCAGACTCGTCAATCATCTCGACATTTTCATCATCAAAAAATAACCAGTGGTTATGGCTTTTCACAAGGCTGACATAATGTCCGTGATTAGGCCCACTGCCAACATGAACAACCACTGCAAATAGGGAATATTCAATATCTGCATCCTCCACAGTGTTACCCAACTTGAGCTCAAGAGGGAAGACAACCCGGTAAGACAGCTTCTTATTTCGGCCCAGCTGTTCAATGTACTTGAACCGCTTCAGATGGATGACCAAGATGTGAGGCGGTTTCTTTATTTTCATCCTCTTCTGAGCTTCTTGCAAACTAATATCATAATAAAATTGTATCAGATATGGAAGGGAGTGAAAAACAATTTTACACGCCATTGACCTAAAGGGCAATCAGATAACTTTAAGATGCCAGAAGGAAACAAATACAAGACTATCCTGGTTTGCATCCTCTCATAACACTAAGTCACAGCCATAAACCAGATTGCAGCAAACACAAAGTATTAAATTATGTTTAGGTAAAAGCTACAATATTTACTGCTGATATTATTAAATGACATATAGCAATGTGTCTATTCTGTATTGAAAGGAGATGAAATTCACAACCTACTAAATTCAAAGTTGCAGTGATTCAACATTCATGCTCCATCTTCACACAGATTTCGTTTCATTCTTGCAAACAAGCAGCAAAATGGCTGTGATTGACCCTTTACCACCTCAGAGTACAGAGTATTCAAGGAACCAATTCACAGTCAATGTCATAACAGTATTATGCATGTAAGTTATGAAAAAGAAAATAGGGCATATAAGTAAAAGCTATTCACCTGCAGCACTTGTCACAGAAAAATTTGTCTTCAGCATTCAGAGTCTCAGTGGAACTAAAGTTTTTCAAACAGCTTGTGATTGAACTGTTCTGCTCAATATCAAGGCTCAAGTCAAAAAACGTTTCATCCCTAGCTGTCACTGTTTCACAGCGTAAGCACCTTGTCTCATTGGTGAGTATGCCCTGATCAAATCAGTTTATAATATTAAGATTTGTCAGAAATAGGACAAAATCTTATTTGGCGGCAACTGAAGAGAAGCAAGGGATTTCCCGATCAAGGAAGACCACTACACACACATGCATAGAATAAGAGAGACCTAGAATGGTATAACGGATAGCATGCTTATTTCCACAACACTAATGGTCAAAGGCAAATGGATAATCCATAGATGTCAAAAGCTTGAACTGGTAAATAGTACGACACCACCACAATACCACTAGAATAAGATAACTCAAAATGTGGCTTGATCCAACACATCAATTGCAATTTATGCTCCCAAGTTTTGCTACAAGCTACATGCTAAGATAAAATTGGTAGAGGTGGTCACCTGAAAATTTCTGTGGACCCACGTAACTAAAGGCTCCTTTTTTGCACCATTAGCTAGACCATTCTTAGGTGCATTTGCAGGATCAGAAGGTGGTGAAGTATCTTGATCATTTTTTGCAGCCTGTGCCTCTTTCTCTAAAATGTCCACAAGTTCATTTAACAAAAAGTTCAAGAATTCATGCGCATCCTAACAACAAAGGAGAAAGAGAATATAACCAACACTAAATTCAGTTAAGCAGACGGAATAAACAAATAATGCAAGAAAAAGTGAGACTGACAATTATGAAGAAAAGGATATTCGCTGATCAACTGGAGAAAAAAAACCTCATTGAATGTACATTTTGTCATAACTCAAAACAACCTCCCTCAATCATTTATGTGAAATAAACATCAAACGTTAGTCTCCATAAAAGGCAGAACCATAACCCCAATCATCATTTGGCATGTAGGACCAACATCAGTAGATGTCTGCACATGCTTTAAGTGGTATGTATGACTTCACAGAAAAACAATTTGAAGGGGGGAAAATTCAATAGGCATACACACACACACACATAACAGTCAATGAAAATAGCAATTAACATGCACAGTTTCAGTTCAGGTAGACTGCACAGAGACTTTACTTCATGGAGATGCCCAAATATGTAAAGGATATACAACAGTGAAGCAAAAGCAAGCCTTCAAATGTGGTATAACTTGGTCAAAGCAACAGCACTCTCACCATGCATTTACAACAGTTCAACATTTATGTAGCCAACATTACATATAAGAGCTAAATAATGAATTTTACTTGCATTCTCTGAACTAAAGTATAAAGTCTTTGTGATTTTCCATTTTACTGCTAGGTTTGAAGAGAATATATCAAGCACTCGTAAAAATAAAAAAGAGTATCATATACTCTTATTCTTTATTTTCCTTCTTTTCTAAAAGAAAAAGAGTGGAAGCATCAAAATAATAATATTCCAACTAATGATCTGCAAAATGAACATTTATTACCTCCCAACTTTGAGTTATGGAAACCTTAACCACAGATAATAGAATCTATAGTCAGGGTCCATTATTAGAGGCAGCAGCAACAGAATATGAAGGACACAACTCTATTCATACAATCCTTCCATAAGCATGGACAAACACAAAAACATTTACAATGACAGCATGTAAGAGCATGTACAATGACACAATGCATACAATCCTTCTCCTCAATTGGAATTACAAAATTCTAGAATTACCACTTTCTCTAAAGAAAGCTTAAATTGGACAAATTAAAGACATACCTGGTGCATATAGCTACGAAAGAGTTCATTCTGCTTTTTTAACCTCTGCACAAATCGCTTGGGAGCAATGACACCTGTTTTCTTCTTCTGGGAAGTTATCTACACCCAAAAAAATAGCATACGTTAAGAGCATGATAAAATATCTCAGTTAAGCCAAAAGACCCATCACAGCTTGTATTAACGTAAGGCATATCATAGCAGGAAATCCTGGAAGTGATTTTAAAACCTTAAGGACCCTTACCAGCTGATATTTTAAGACAGATGAAGACAACCACTCAAATGCATTAAAAGTGAAGATAACAATTCTTTCTTATGATCATTGTGGCAGCAAAATCATGCCAAGTTAGGGAACCAAGAGGTTCTTTGGAAAGACAATTCACACACCATAGCTTTATTGGGGACAATACAAACTCTCTAAAAGTATACCATGCCCGTGACAATTTTATATAAAGAAAAATCAAATGACCACAGGCAGTTTCCAGAATCTAGATTCATCACCTGAGAAAATAAGTCTGCTAAGCAAGTTAAGAGATTTTCTTCCGCATCCCCTGTGGTTTTATTAGTCCCATAATACTCTAGCAATTGTTCACGAAATGGAACACAAAAGTAAAGTGCCTGCAGAAAGGGGAACAAAAGTGACTTGGCGGTGAAGACCCAGAATAAAAACTATGAAACATATAAAACACACATTTTCCTGTACTATCACTAAATATGTTGAATACATTTTTATAAATACATTATTAGACATGGTAATAGTTTTTCTTGTGCATAATTATTATCGCATTGAAATATAACAGGCAGATTTAGGCACCATTTATTCTTATTTGCTAGAATAGAATGTCAACAATGAAAATATTACAGAAAACCTGAAATGTTATCAGAAGATTTTTTTAACAAAATTACTAACAAGACAGACAATATTATACATGCAAAAACTAATAAGCTAACATGACAACTTCTGGCATTTAAACAGAATTTTACAGTCTGAAGATAACCACTCAAAAGTCTTAGACCAAGTTAAACACGTTCATGAATATTTTGCATTAAACACATTTCCTGGGTATTTGATAGAATATGGTGAATGAGTTGTGTTATTCATGGCTTGTAAATAATTTGACTTTTAGATTTTATTAAACAAATTGATATTGAAATATTGATGATTGATATTATATATCAATATACTGACAGCGATGCTTGGCAGCATCAGTATCCTCGTGCCTTCTCTGACAGGCAAGCCAAATAATTATTTTTGCAATTTATTGAGCTAAGTTAAATACATTGGAAATAAACTAATTCCATGAAATGCAGTAAGCAAAAGAAGATAGGGAACAAAAAAACATTCATGTTCCCAAAGTTCAACTTGCATACTCAGATGTAACAAAATCAGAAGTATAACAAACAGGGGAAACGGCGCGGGAGAAAATTTAATACTTCCACTGCTACAACAGAAATACCAAAATGAATAAGTGAAAAAAAAAAACTATTATTTGCTCAACCATAAGCTTAGCAATTTAGCCGAACAGCTCAACTCGAACCAAAAGTCACAACACAGTGACTTTCCTGTACTAATATATGCAGCTGCAATATATATATATATATATATATTTTTTTCAATAGTTCACAACTCACAGAAGATTAATCGATTATATCGATATCCCAATAGAAAATAAATAGGCAAATCCACTAGCTCACTGCAGGAATTCAAAGCTTCTAATAAAAACGATTGTACTGAAAACATAATTCGGATACAGAACAAACACACATAGTATCAATTGATGACCTGCAAAACGCTGTTGCAGTAACATGTATTGCCAAAGTTCTCAAGACCAAAGTAACGCTCGCCTTCAGGAAATTGGTCGCCAAGGGCTTTCTCGAGCTTGGAGCCCGCAGCACCCATCAGCTCGTCACCGATCACAGAAACTCGGATCTTTATCTGGTTAAACTCTGCAATTCGCACTCCATCAAATGATCAATGATCGTTTCTCCCGCCCGCGTTTCTTCAAATCGTTAGGATTGATTGCCTGCATACTAGCTGGATTTCGTTTTTCTGGTATTGGAGTGGCATCAAGGGTTTTCGTTCGTTTAAGAGAGAAAAGAATGAAGAAAATTGAGGAAATCAGAAATGAAGATCGATTTTGTTAAAATCACAGAAATGAAAGAGATATAAGCAATACGGAAGGATGTACTTCGCAGCTACATGATCTCCCCATCACGCGTGCCTACAGCCAATTTGTATAGCCTTCTAAAGGCCGTAGCTAAGGTCTAATCTAATTAAAGTTCAAACTTCAAAGTTCAAACAGATCCGGTTCAATTAAGGTTGTACTAGAAGTCTAATCCAATTTTTTATTTTATTTTTTTTATTTGCCAATTTTAATCCATGGGTTAATAATCTAAACCTGGTTAAATCAGATCAACCCAGTCATGATTATTGTTTTAACTCAAAATCTAATATATTAATTCGTCCAAAACTATTGGTCAAAATGTGAGGGGCCTAGTACTAAAAGCAAACCCTTCATTCAAGTAATCAGGGTTCAAGGGTTAATAATCCAAACCTAATTGAACCAAATCAATCCAGTCGTGATTATCGTTTTATTCCCTCAAATTCAAAATACAAACGTCTTTCAAAAATAATTTATATACTAATAAATTTCTTATTATCATAAAAGTATGTATATATATAAATATTATCTCTAGTTTTAATTTATAATGAATGAAAAAAATGTCATAAATTTACAAATACAATAATTTAAGTTAATAAATACAAAGGATAAAGTGAAATTTTTTTCTGCAAATATTAAGATATTTATATTTTGGACAAAGATTAACTAGAAAAAATACTTATATTTTATATCAAAGAAAGTAACTCAAAATAATGTTGTTTTTATCTTGACAAAGCGTGTAAAAATATATATGGTTAAATTATACTTTTAAACCTTTAACTTTGTATAATATTTTACTTTAGTTTCTTAATTTTATAAAGTGTATTTTCAGTCATTTAATCTTAACACTGTTTGTTTTATCACAAGAAAATTTACGCGAAACTTTTAAATATTAACAAAACATTCTCAATTGTTGGCATATTAAGTTTATTTTTTCAAATAATGATTAGTGTAAATCCTAATTTAATCTAGAAATATAATTCAGATAAATTGTGTAAATTAAGAATGATCAAGGTTAATTGTGTTGTTTATGGTCAATGATTTTGAATTGAGGTATAAACAAGGTTTACAAAGGCTAATAGTTACTAGGCATTCAATTACGATTGTATTTGGCTACTTAGTTTATAGAGAGATAAGGGTGGGTGTTTATCATGCAATATAATACTCCCTTCGTTTAAAAATGTAAGATATTTTTTAAAGAGTTGGATATTAAAAAATATAAGACATTTTTAATCTTTCAAGGTGTGATCATTGCCTTTTTTTCTAAAAGTACCCCTATTGATAATGACTTTATATTTATTGTAGGATGTTTAATAGGGGTAAATATAAAAAGATAAGGTTAGTTGGAAAGTAAGTAACTACTTTATTGGGGGTAAGATTCGGTTAAAAATATCTCACATTTTTTAATAGAGAGAGTATCTAATTGTAATTGAATTATGAATGTTTTATTTTTTCCCATTGAGCAAGCTCACGTATAACTGTTTGCATACATTAATATAAATTAATTTTGGTTATTAGAACTTTTGAGTCTTATCCCTATGGTTAACAATTTTCAAGAGAATTGCACATGGAGAAGCCCTTGAGGCTTAGGGTGCATTTAGGTAATCAAGATTTGGCATTTGAAATCCACTTTTTAACTTTTGAGATGTTAAATTTTGTTTGGGTAATTTTTAAGTGAGCAAAATGACTTTTTAAATGTGAGTTAAGATAAGGTTGAAATGTGAATTTTTCAACTCTATTTTTTGGTGGATTGAAAATGTGGATTTTCTAACTCTATTTCATATTTATCTAATTTAAAATAATTTGTTTTTATAAATTAATTCTCACAATTTCAATTTTTTTGGTAGGTAAATATTGTAAAATTTCTCTCACTAAGCTGTAAAATTTGATAGCAAGTTGTAAAGTCTCATTTCTTAATTACAATTAACCATAAAGATTAAGGTAATCATTGTGCTAAACCAATTATGACTACCAATTTTATAATTTGTAAAAATGAGGTTCTAAGTTTTTAATAATTTAAATTACTCAAACATCATTTAACAAACCTTTAATCAGAGTAAATAACACTTTAAAAGAATGGGATACCTCATTGGAGTAAAAAGGACTCAAAATCAATTGAAAAATATTAAAGAATGAAAAACAGAGCAATGCACAGTGGCATATGTACATGCACCACAGCTGTCCTTCTCTGTGCCATGCATCATAGTGCAAGCGCCATGAGTCGAGGCATGTTGCATGCATCAGACAGCAATTCTGTTGCCATTTGATAGTAACTCAGGCTAATTTTTCGTATGCCCCATTTGTCTATTTGACGTTTGAATGAGGTGATCTAGGTGCATACAAAAAGATAATTTTATAAACAAGCTAATGGCACAAGTTTTACTTCTGCATTATGCCACACAAGGAAGATAAATGCACATACACATTTTAGCAACTTTTCATATTTTTCACAACTCAAGGGTGTTCAAAACCCCTTACATGTGCCAAAAACAATTCCTAACGGAATACACTTAAAAAATTTTAAGACTATCTATATAACACACCACATGTACATAAACTCTATAATAACAAATTTTCATTCCTCAATCCCTTTAACCCCAAAAACAAAATGGAGGATTTTAGCATTGCATTTTATAATCAATGTGCATAATTATGATCAAATCAACATTCCAATACTTGTATTAATATTTTGGCCCTATTAATATTTTAACAACTTACATGTAACATCCTAGGGCCTAGAACATATCTCAAGATTTTAAGTAATAACATAGTACAAGTATAAATAAAATGCATCATAATTGATAATATTCTAACTACTACACAAAATTAAATATAGTTAGGAGGCTTTACAATAGGAATCCTAGATTTTTAAGCCTCTAGAACTTTTTTTTTCTTTCTATATCAAAGCTACATCCTGTAAAATATTGAAAGAAAGAGGTGAGTATAACCATACTCAATAACCAAGATATACCTATTTTACACAATTGTATATTAATTGATTCAAGCACACAAAAAAGAGAGTTGAATACTAAAAAAATATAAGATTACACATAACACAAGTTGTAATTTCATAATTTACTCATTTTCATATTTTGCATTTCAAAATCATATGATACATTGCCATAATACAAATAAACATGTGACAATAACTCAATTTACAACCCCGATGCACATTGTCACAATATAAACAACAATGTGACAATGGCACATTCACTATCACAACTTGCAACAAATTTATTAACCACGTGACATGTTGAATATATACATATGCATGATCAATTCCTCCTTATATCCTCCTTATATCTTTCAACTAAAATTGTGGGTTATAATATCAATTAAGGCTTCATCCGTGTGACTGGACTATCCCAATTCACCAATTGTGAGGTGTGACCTAGTTAAAGATCATAGCACTCACTCTCAGACATCATCTTCTCCCACTCTCAAATCTTTAGAGTGTCGTATACCTTAAGTTAATCTTCTCGATAAATAGGTGGAGATAGTTAAGTTCTAGTCTCTTGACAAACTATGAGACAGTCCCTCAACAAACAATGGGACAAGGCTAACCTTTATGCATCGAAAGGCGGCCATTAATACCATATAAATTTTTTACTCTTCTCCCTAGGCGAACTCTTGTCAAATAATCATGTAATGTATAATATTCACTCATTTTACAATTTTATTTACTCAATATTAACACATTGGGCTTACAATATTACATTACCCAAGTGAGAATCAATATTATTTTCACTAACATTCTCCACTTTACTCAATCATCACATTCACACTATTGCAATCATAATATCACTTATACTTCATGTTTTTCATATCAAAATCATCATATAACCTTAACAACTCCTCATTTCAACATAATTCGTAAGGTGAAAATACTCAAAGTTCACTTTGCAATTATAGCCTATTTTAGATTTGATAAAACTCATATGATTCATGTCATATTCTCCATCATAAATCCAATCATACATGCAAATAAATTCATTTTCACATTATAATTTAATTAACAAACAACTACCCAATATAAGTTTATCTTGGTTACCTTAAATTTTTAAAAAATCAAAGATTTTTTCCTCAATATATGCCTCAAAGCTTGCTTTCCAAGCCAAATGTGGTGCCTAGATGATTAATTTATAATTAATCAAGCCCAAACTTAATTAACATTATTGAAAACACACTCCAACTCTTCCTTTTCATTTCTAAAGCACACATTGCCATTATTTCTCACATTTAGGCTTACCCATTAGGTATATTAACTTCTTGTAGCTTACAATAGCTTCACTAAATATCAACTTATCATTACTAGCTTCCCAACCAAGTCTAATAACCATAATAAATGGCATTTTTGGCCATTAATGCAACCATAACTACCAAAATGTGTAAACCCCCTATCCTCAAATTTAAATGCCTCAAACAACTCTCATTAACTTCATTTGAGTCAATGGGTTCGGACTCATAACCTATATGGATTAAAAATTGTAACACCCTAAAATTTTCAAACCAATTTTTCACAAATTATTAGTTCAATAAATCATTTTACATCATTGAACCCTTATCCTAGTAAAAAAATTTCTACCATGATAATAAATAACAAAACTTTTTTTCAAAACTCTACTATGGTAGAAAAGAGTTTATCATATAAATTAAATATTTTACAAATAGCCTATCATAGTAGAAAGAATTTAATATAATGAATAAGCTCTATTGTGATAATTAAAAATATATTTATAATAAAATTTTATCTAACAAAAAACAATGTAAAACAATTCATATCAAAGAAAATAATAATTTTTGAAATTAGCATTTGGTGCAAAAGCCTATCCTAGGTGGCAGAATTTCAAACAATTCATAAATACAAATTTTTAATGTTGTTATGTGAACCAAGCATACATCCAAGACAATATACCACAAGTCTTATTTAACTACTAAGTACTAACACTTCCTAAAGAATACTGGTTCAACAATACCTGAACTAGGTCTGCATAACATTCACCATAATCCAACACTTATCCTTCACGAAATATAATTATAGGATGTATACTTGTTCATATTATGAATACCTTTTTACTTAATACTCAATGC